ATTCACCTCTGGAATTGCTGCCTTCTTGACAGCAGGAGCAGCAATCTTCTTTGATGTTGAAATGACGGAGGTCACAGGGACCACATCATCATTTTTCTGAGCGACATTCCATCTGGATTTGTCGAGACCCTCGATTATGTATTGGTCGATGACCATATCGCCCATTTCCACGTCTGGGTTTGTTGAGTCTGAGTCTTCCTGGAAGACTCTCAATCTTTCGGTCATCTCTGACTCCATCTTGTCTTGATCTATCGTATCGATCGATAGATTTCTTGCATCTAGGCGGTGTTGTAACCTGATTTTAATTTTCGCCATGGCTTTGTGCTGGCGCGCGGGGCGAGTGATTTTCGTAGGACCCGTCGCCATTTCGGAGACTCAGGGTCTTGCGACTATGATAATGATGAAATTAGCTTGTGAAACTATGAATTGAAGGGTTGAGGGGATGGGTAGGTGAATTTTTCATCGATTTCAAAAAAAAATTGTGTAATGCATGTGTGGGTATACTGGACCAATCTAGAACTCGATGGAATAGAGATAACGGAATCAGCAAGAGACTGAGGGACTGAAGGAGAACGAGCTGGTTATTTCTCGAAGGAGAAAAGTGATATCACAAGGGAATGTTCTAGCACTAGGCTGTGAACAATACAGTAATTCTGGAGCAAGATATAAGGAGGTCTCAACCTCCGTCCATTCATTTATATCTAAGTTTCCTTTATACGAGAATATAGAGTCAAGTCTTACATATCACGAGAACACACGCGACAGCGACTATAGAGACCTACTGTGAGCATAACTTCTCCAAGAGTATCCATCGTCCTGCTCCCATATAGCCTAGTTAATATAACAGTTCTCCCTTGAATGATTCTAGCACCAAAGATGTCGTCCTTTATTCTAGAAAAGACCACATGTAAAGCCTGATCCACTTCAGGATTCTTTTTTCTCTTGAGTTATGTAGTGTCAGATTGGAGCGTGGGCGTTTCAACTGAAGCGGAACTAGATGTGAAAGGTTTAAAGAATTCAGAAGTACTTGAAAGACGTTAACTCAATAGGAATTGATAATTTTTCCTTAGGAAGCTAATCTGCCTACGACGGCTCCTGTCCTTATGTCCTCCTCAGCGTCGCGTTTAAGCTCCCATCCTAGCCTACCTGAGAATACTTCATTCTCCCCGGCTACCCTCTTTCCTGTGACATCCTCCCCCCCTGGGCACCTACTCCACTTAGGAAGGAGACGCCTCAGACTATACCGGAGCACACCGCCAGGAGGCGGACCACAACACCTTCCATCAATGGCTTGTGTTTATAGTGTCAGCTGCACTCTCGTAAGCGAAGTCTTGGCGCGCACAAAGTTCAATTCGTAAAACTCCTTGCCAAAATTGGGAATTTCACGCCCTTCGAAGTTATATCCTTCCTTTGCATCATCTTATGAATTTTTCCTGATTCCTCTCACGTCCATCCCAGAGAACAGTCTCCCAGATTTGTGCGCCACGCTTTGCTTCCTCCGTCGGGTGTAAATATCGGCGTGGGCGTGTATTTGGTGGTCAACTGATGCCAGAGAAGGTCGAAGAGAGGTGCGGTCATTGGGATGAGGATGTACTATGTCGTACTTGTAGACTTGATGAAGCTTAGTTGAGAATCGGACTCTTTGGGAGTGAAAGATTGACATGGTGGAGTAATTTGAATTTTTGCCTCGTGGACCAACTTCTTTGATATTGCGAAATTTGACTGAACTTGGCTCTGGGAGAATATTTCACTCCCAGGTTCGTAGAGGACACCGCGTACATGTGTTCAGTCTTGCCCTCCTTGTGTCATAGCTATATAGCTGCATACGCAATTAAAATCTGATGGCAAAAAAAAGAAAGAAGTTGTAGGGTAGCCTCTTATTTTCCAGGCAACTGTAATGTTTGTGGCAAGAAAATAAAATAAATTATTCACCATCTTAATTTGGAGCCTGGAGACCCCTGCAGGTTTTATGGCAAGATATGTACTTTAAATAGGATGACCCTATTTGATGTTAAGAACACTCACACTTAGATTGCATTTGCAGATACCACTCAAGGTCAACTCTTACGGCGTGTAACCTCTTCCGTGCATACCAACCGCAGGGAAAAGCTTGAAAAAACTATGATTATCCGAGTGTGCTTTTATCATCCCACAAATACAATATCAGCACGAGAGAGAGTGTTCTGTGGGTTTTACTGGATTCGAACCAGCTTTCTCCCTTCTCAAATGTGTTAGGTGTTCAAGCTAACTAGAATCTACTTGGGAGAACTGCCCAAAAGGTATACCACTGCACTACCCAGCCCAATGCTAGTGACAAAGTTAGCCATCGACGCCAGCACTGTAGGTAGCTTTCTCCTAGGCTGAGCCAGCCGGCACGTGATAACTCAAAGCAAGTGTTGCGCGAAGGCACAAAGCCAAGTAAAATAAAATTAAATATAAAAAAGTGCTAGCACGTTGAGGAGTCCATAATTTTCTGTAAAGTCTTGAATATACTATCTAGCGCCTTACTAAATATACATCAAGAAGAGATCCCTACTTCTATGGATTGGACCAATTTACTGCTTAGAAAGATCATATGATGAAACTGGCATAGCTTATATGAGAAGGTGGAAATGCTACCTCGAGATTGGCCCTAGTATAGGAATAATGCCATAACTGAAAGGTTTAAGCCGACGTGTGCTTGGGGCGTCAATTGCGGCTCGTTCCGGACACGGGGATTTCGCCCAATATCAATGTCGGTTCTCACACGAAGATACTCGAACGACTTGCTCTTGCAGCGAAGTAAAAAGACCAGACCACTTCTTCAATTGCAAAATATGAAGCCGAGCCCACCTCCGTGGCAGACACTAGTATCCCCGCTCTGGTGTCAAATGGATACTCGGCACGACCAAGGTTGACCTTGCCTTTGGAAATTGGGTGGAGCTGACGAAATTATACGAAGAGGTCCAACAAGCTCACTAGCTGCTTTACCCTGAAGGAATAAACTCTGCCTGGACTCCACGCTGGACGGAAGGACTTATTTTATCTTACTTCTACCTTTTTTAAATACCTCTAAACGCTGCGCGATACACATTATTAATTTCATACTACTTGTAGATTATATGTAAAGATCCTGGTGGAGGAAAATTTACTACATTTAAATTGGATATCAGAGTGGCCGATAGCTGTTCTATTCTGCTTTTTTGCGTGCAAGGTACATGTTACCTATCGCACTCCTACTGGAGTTTAAGCACGAATGGGTTCGGATCAGGTTAACTACCATGAAGTACAGATATACCTCATCCTACCTAAATGACCGGACCGCCTCAGACTTCACCTATGTGTTGAATCATACCAAGCCTAACCGTCCAGAAACCCGCTGTATACACGCCCTAGCGCAAATTCCTCCTCAGCCTCGTACACCACGCGCCCGAACCCTTGATATCCTCAATGACTCCGAAATGTAAATGTAGTCCTAGATTTCATCGTTGCTCTAGCCTTGCACCTTCATATCGTACCAATGGGTTGTTGTCGTCATTGGAGATTTGTGTAATCCCCTCGGTGTATCTTCCCTTTTCTTCCTCCTTTGTACACGTCCTGTTTCCATCATGACTTTCCGAATTAGGGCGTGTGTAGATAGGTAATGTGACGAGTATGGAGGTGGGTCGCAGGTGTAGGATCGACTGAGAAATGCTTCGTCGCAAATATTTAAGGAGTTTAAGAGATGTCGGATGTTTGAATACGACCCCCAGATAGACCTAAATCCATTCGTGAATCGTAAGTTAGTGATGATGAGTTTTTGTTCGAATTTGTTTCGGCTGTGAAATCTCTGCCAACTGATTTTTCGACCAAAATACCGAGTACAACTCCTTCAAGCCGAAAATCTATCAAATTATATTCATCCCACCCTTTTTCGTGACTGAATCTCGGCTCTGGGAGAATATTCCACTCTTAGGTTCGTATAGGACAACACTGGCGAACAACTGGTCGGACTCTTATGTAGTTTCTGAGTGCTTTAGGGCGTGTCAGAGTGTCGTGTAGCTCGTTGGGGACGGAGCCGGCAGGTACGTTTCAATACTTATTGATTGATTGATTTAAATTTAAGTCTCTACTCAGGCCTAGACTTTGAAAGACTTCTTGAAGATCTACCTAAATAGCTCTTTAATTTATTAGTTAAATTTTAATTTGAATATTACAATTTTAAGCCAGTTGATCCTGAGGGTCATGCCCTAATTTCAATACTTAGATGCTGTGCACTAGCATAACGTTAAATTTAATTAGATCAAATCAAATGCTACCTCAAGACACATGGAACTGTGAATCATTCTTTTTAAATAAGATAATATTACGATTATCATCAATATTTCAAGAATTTCTGCCTAATTGCAAAGTCGCAACGGCATCTGTAACGAGCTACTTCTGAATTCCAAAATATACTCCCAGACTCTGATAAAATACGCCACCATTTCTAGCGCACGTCTCAACATATATTAGTTTGCAAATAAAGGCTTCATGAAACACAGGAAAGAAAGTGAACAAACAACAAGAAATCGAGCACGAGTCATTGAACTCTTACCTCTAGTGAAAAAAATTTAGTCGGCAGTCGAGTAAAACAACTTTTCGGTGACCGCCGGAGCTGGATATGAAGAGGGCATAGAGAACAGGAGACTAAGGATGATTGATCCTGGGTTGAAAGCCATTCAAGGTTAGCAATAGAACATAACTTGATCTTGCACTTTTTCTGAAAAGGAATTGGTGCAAAGCATGGGAATCCTTATGCATATTTGATATGTTTATGGCACGGCCAAGGCTTCTTGGAGGATTAAGAGTAAAAAGTGGTAATGGTAAGATGAAGAAGCTCCACCCATCTAGATTACGGAGATGACTAGAGCAATCGGCACCGCAGTCCAACAAAAAGATAAGTGGTGTAGATAATATATATGTTTTGACCTCTGCTCAATAATCGAGAGATTCCAGAGTCCTTCATCTAACGCACTTCACCTACTAAAAATTAGCTCAAAATGCGCATTTCTAGCTTGGCTATTGTCTTTCAAAGCGCAAGTCTCTTCGTGGCAACTATTGCTGTACAAATAACAAGCCATGAAACTTCCCAAAAGAAAGAATTTGTTTGCAACCGACGCATTATTGGGGAAGACGAATTTTCAAAGCCACCGCAGAGGAAAATAACAGAGATAATAGATAATGGAGGACCCGTGTCTGTGGCGGATAAATTTTACGAATTATTGCAAAGCGTGGAAGACGACAAAGTTGTTATGTATAGTGACAATGACTCGAATTATTTCACCTTCTACAGCGTCAATAATTTAAAATTAGGCAATTATTTTCGCTCCCTCCCTTCCACGTACCACAACTAATGGTCAAAATCAGATAACGGTTGGGGCAATACTAATACCCTACAAGAATATATCCTCGTTATCGACGAATATGGTCGGGTCTGTGCTATGATACTAAAACTGACGGTTCGCCAAGCCATGTGGGGTCCTGCGTCTGCACCTATATTTCATTTCTCATTATGCGTGATTGATGTTTGATACATTTCCCAATGTGCCCAGTATGTCAGCGCAGCATTTTATTTGCAGGTTGAAGCGATCGACTTCTGGGGGCACCCTACTGCTATCGGAACTTGAGCTAGAGTCGAGCCGAACTGATCCAGATTAAGTACCATTGATCATACGAATATCAACCCGCCTCTATTTCAAAGGTCTGTAATTAGAATTTTTATACCAATATTAATTCGGAATGATGATGATATTTTTGCCGTGACCTGGTACTACCCTAGCACCCAGAGGGCATGGCACGGAAAGCCCAGATCTAGATAAGACTCCTCGCTACCTAAATAATTGGTTCGTAGGAACCAGAAACGCGAAGAACTAAATCAAATAAAAACACCAATTCTAATGTGCTAGCGCCCTGCGATACACCTTAATTCTCGTACCACACCGAACGGTGCCAAGAAGCATTACAGTTGACCATTACACCCCCTGATTATAATACTATCTTGCTGTAACATTTTGTTACATCTAAATACCGCCAGAATGTCTGCCATTCTTCTTACTCTATCATGTCCCGTATCAAAGGTGATGGTTCCTTCGTTTCCATCCTCCATTTCTGAATTCCCGGGCGAAATTCTGCGAAATGCCATGGCCGTTTCTCACGTCCGCATTTACATAGCATTTCTTCATTCTGGTGCTTAAATCTCCTGTGATAACTAGCAAAGTCACCATGCCCAGTCCTTGCTGCGATCAGTCGGTGATATACCCATCGAGGTAAAGCTAGCTCCGGAGGCCGTTTTCTTCGCGTAATTAGGTCCAGATCTTCGTCCCTCACCGTTTTAATCTTCTCCCATATATCTTCTACAAGTTTTGTATGCGGATTGTGACATGGCGTCTGAGTGCTGCAAATGTCAGGACCTCGTGAAATTCCTCCCTAATTCATTCTGGTCGCGATAAATTTTCTTCTCTGGTTTTTGATGCAAGGACTGCCATAGCTATCGCATTAGCCTTTTCGTTTTCTATTACACCAGAGTGTCCCGGAACCCAGCGGACTTCTCTGTCGATGTCGGTAAAAGGATTATACTTGGGCGTTATGAATTGTTCTATGTAATTGCGGTGTTAAGGATGTCGTTAGGACTTTGGCAGGGGTCTGATTTAGCTCATTAGCGAGGCGCTTGGAGTAGAGGAAGAAAGGGCAGAGGGAGAAAAGAGAGAGAACGTTTTATGTATATCGAGATACCAGTTAGTTGACATTATTCACCGACTTCGTGACGGACAGCTGACTTCGTGACGGCACCTAATTTGTATTACTTCGTGTTTTACCAAAAGTCGAGTTGAGCCTTGCACAGTTCCATAAATTTCCTTACCTCAAACTGTGAAGAATTAGCTCTGCCGCTCGCAAGAGCTTCATCAGCCTCTTGATTCTAGGAGCACTATCAACCTATGGGTAGTTTGGAAGCGACCAATGTTAGATATAGAGTTTAAGGTGTTAGGTTTACAAAGCTTGGAGTCACTTGTTTCGGACAAATGTGTTTCACTTGGGTTTTAGCAACAAGATGTAAAAGGTCTAAAGGAGTCGGAAGTATTTGAAGTCAATAACTCAATGGGAATGAATTGTTTTTCCTTGGGAAGTGTTATAATCTGCCAAGAGATCCCAGATCTGTGCAGATTTATGCATGCCAATATTTCATACAAGTCCAAGGACATGGAATTGAGGGCAACCCATAATTAGGGCATCATAGATTTGTTGTCACAAATCAAGGAACAGGCGCTGGTGCAACTATGTGGTCCATAGTATGTAAATTATCATTCTGAAGAGAGAACTACTTCAGTCTCTATCTATACATATATATACATTGTCTATGTGGTTGAGGCACAGTCCCTCCCTCTCGGTTCCAATGGGATTCTTCACATGTGTTGTAGCTGTATGGTCCAATACTGCTGCCCTGCCAAACTAGATGCCGATGCCTTGATATTCTGTTGAGTGGCATCATATATCAGCGCATTGATGTTGACCAACATGCGCTACAGGGACCAATCGGCTTACCAGCCGTTACATTTGTAATGGAATGATAGGGGATCGAATAGTATGGAGTAGAATGGAATGGAATGTACTGGATAGTGTAGGAACTGTGATATGGCTGTCCAGGACATGTATATTATGAGATGTATCACCTAGCAGTAGGAATAAGTAAAAGTCGTCTGAATACAAGCGTTCCTCAGTTAACGCGAGTCTTTTCTATATCTACGTTGGTGTTCTACAAACACATATAGCATCCTTCCTAGGTAGAGATTCAACCCGTTTGTGCTCATAATCTTAACAGGAAGCTAATCTTCAGCATCGTATCCTGCTCTTTATTTCCTCTGCATAGACTAGTATTTACCCCCCTTTGCCATCTGATAATCATCACTTCTTCTCGGCTCCCTTCCTTGGCCAGTTTGTTGAAATATCATATATCTTGGAATGACCAGAACAACTTATTTGTAAGTCCGGCTAATTTGAATATCAAATTCCCCATCCTATATCACTGTGATCAATACATCCTTCACCGAAAGTTTAATGCGAATTAGCATTTATTTCACATTATCATTCCAGCAGATGACTATGTCTCTAATGTAGGTTATAGTTTTCTCGTATCTATTGCCGACACACATGTATTTAGCTTTATATTCCTGGCTTATATATTGTCTAGGGGTAACATTTCACCTACTAATGTAAACTAAGCTAGACAGTTCACATGACCTTCATAGCAGTACATAGATTTCATCTGTAGCAATAGGGTTCTTCATCATCCCGTGAAGAAAAGCTCATCGAAATTGGTGCAGTAAGTAGACTCCTGGGATCAAATCCCTTCAAACAGTGGCAGGCTACACGACCTACTCTTGACTTGTTCGTATTCTCAGACGGAGCTCTAATAGACGACCGAGCAGGTGCGGGCTATGTCATCTACCGAGGTCTTACGCAAGAGATTGGACGAGGATCACTCCCGCTCGGAAACTCGGCAGAAGTGTATGATGCAGAAATTGCCGGGGCCACTGAAGGTCTTGCCACAGCTCTTCGCAACCCACTGGCTTATTATGCTCTAACGTCACTGTCTACCTTGACAACCAGGAGGCTGCCATCCGTCTGCTCTTGGATACGCCCACAGCGTCCAGCTCGGCGAAAATATTAATCTTTCGCAAGCTCGCAATGAACTGGAAAAGAAGATCACGCGGTCAAAATACGACGCCTGGGAAAGTGGCTATCCGATGGTGCCAAGGCCACGCAGGAATTCTCGGGAACGAAGCAGCCGACGCGCTTGCCAAAGCTGCCTGTGCAGCTCCAGCTCCACACTTAGAACTCTCCATTGCGAGGGCAAGGAGAGAAGTCAAAGCCCAATACTAGGCTTCAGTCGCACTATATTGGGCAGAAAATGCCCCTTCTAGGTACAAAGAACTAGGAATTGGCCCTAATACGAAAATCACCGTTGAGCTCGCCCGTCTAGGGCGACGTGCATTAGGATATCTACTAGCTTCACGGTCCAGTCATGGCGACTTTGCGGACTACCACCGACGCTTTCAGCATGAAAACGCCATTCTAACCTGCGCGTGCGGAGAAGAGAAGTCCCCTAACCACTTTTTCTATTTCCACCTCGGTGTCAGGATCTCTTGGGACTTGGTTACTTAACTTGAACTGGAGGCGCTAAATCTTGGGCTCTTGATGGTAAAGAAAATATAACAACAATAAAGACTTGGTTCTTGATTCTTGATTCTTGGGTATCTAGGGAATAGTACAAGACTGAAAGCTGAAGAGCTTTCGACATGAAGATACCTCAGCCACTTATACTACAACACTATCTGCTACAGATTACTGTAATCTAGTTCCAGCCCGAGTCCTGTCAAACTCCTGAGAGTAACCTAGAATCTGATCGAAGCCCATTGAACTGGTAAGAGTACAAAATACCATTCCGAAACATCTAGAAACTAATTGCCAGAGTAGCTTAGAATTCCATCGAAGTAACTAGAACTTGTTTAGAGGGATACCAGCTGAAGCTAGAATCAGACTTTACCTCAACACCATGAATCTATCCATGACATAGCAGTAGCAACATAGTCTTAGAGCCAGAGGTTGACAGGATAATATCTCCACCTCAGTCAGTCCGTGACACTCGAGCAATACCAAGCTCAGCTCCACAGGGCACAGAACTCTAATCCCAGCGTATCCTAGGCACTTGCTTCGGCGGAGGGAGTTGATGCAATCAATAATTGGGTCTGTGTCACAGATTTCTTCGAAAGGGCACAACGAACAGTCTGATTCGAACGAAACCACGATCTGATGTAAACAATCTTCTCCTTTTATTTTTAAATTTGTTTTGTAAAATTTTTCTTGATTTAGTACCAATAGCATAGCATAAGATTAGTTGGACGGACGACCTTCATGTAAACTATAATCTTCGAGCGTAGGATGATAAGATCCTGGCTATTGTTTGCTTTGTTGGGTCTGTGAGGGCGCCAACACGTCGGGTAGTTTTGTTTTTTTTTTTGTTTTAGGGTCCTAAGCTATGCTCTATATCTCCTAGGAGTCAAAGACCGGTGTACACGGCCGAGATCATGCTTTCCGCATGCCCACCTCGGTTTCACCGCGTGAACCACTACACAACCAGTAGCTAGTTAAAAAAAAGAAAAATAGAAACTCCCGTAAACTCCCATAGCTAAAGTTCCAAGCCCAGTAATCCAGTTTGTGGTTAGGAAAACAACACTTTTCGTCTCGTTTTCCTACCTGCCATACATCGTGCTATGACTAATTACCACCGTCTCCGCTGAGAGCTGGAGACGGATCCGTAGGTGGGTTCCTGAAGCAGCCGGTTTCCTGCGCAAATTTTGTAAAGTTCTCGAGGCACTTAGGCCCGAGAAGCTTGTGGACAAAGTCGTGATGTGACATTGTACCTCGTAGTCGACGCGTCTGGCGTGACGTCAGGTAGTTTGTTTGTTTGTTTGCATTTAACGCCAAGTAGGCTCACGGGTATGACCCGGCCTCTATGCCCAAGAATGGGCGTTAGGAGTGTCCGCATTGCCTATTACTATCGGAAAATTCTATTGTCTTAAAAAACTATTGTATCCTCCCTTTTTTCGCAATTAATGCTCGATATTAATGCAAGGTAGAGTTCTAGGCCACTCTATTCGTGTAAATTTCCCAATGCCTAACTCCTTAATACTCCCCCCCCCCTTTTTTTTAAATTACTATGATTATATTACAAATTTGTGCAGTTATTTCAAGGCAATCCTATCAATGTCACCACTAATCTTGCTTCTACACTGTGAGAACTTGTTGTTTGTATGGATGAGCTGTGTTGCACCATTTTCCAAATTCTTTCACCCCTGTTGATGTGCCGAGGATCCACATGATGTCCCCCTCCTTACCCCGAGATGGACATGGTCTCGGAGTTTTACTTTGGTCAAGTTTCCTGCATGCAAAGGGATGTTCCGGAGCCTTTTCTTCTCCACAGATACATAATAGCTTGGCGTCTTGGTGCTGGAAGCGTCTGTGATACGTGGCGTAATCTCCGTGAGCGGAGCGGCCAGCAAGGAGTAACGCGAGATTTTTCCGAGATAAAATCTGCAATTCCTCAGGCATTTGTCCTGTCATAGGTATCTTCAGACTCCTATATCTACTCGGAGCGTAATCCTTCCAGAATTGGATGATGCCACTCTCGTGCCGCTCCTTTATGAGGCTTTTGGCTCGGTATATCGGAGCTTTTGTCCGTGTCGTTGTTTCGCTGCAGGCTTCCCTAGCTAATACGTCTGCACGCTCGTTTCCTTTGATCCCTACGTCACCCGGAACCCATTGTACTTTCACCGCACCCTCTACCTCTCTCGAAGAGTGCACTCTACTCTTCCAATTTTTCCTCAGTTCCTGAAATTCTGCAATCTTGACCGAGCTGGATTGGCTTAGGTAGCCAATGTGCAATCGTAGTGCCGCTTCTTCATTATCCAGACATACCACAATATTTGTAGCGTATTTGGCCATACAATGTGCCATGGCTGCTTTTAGCCCCTCGACTGCCCCGATAATTTCTGCATCAAATACTTCTGCAGTCCGACTGAGGGGAATCTTCGCAAATGTAATTTCCGAGTTTGGTCCCCGGTAGATGCAATACGCACTGCCTGCCTCTCCTTCCTTATTTATTGCCCCATCTGAATATATGAAAAGATCTAACAAATTGTGTCTCTGGCTTTGCTCCCAATTTCGATATTCCATCAGACCTTTTTCTCGGCCGATAGCCCCAATCTCTTCCTTTGCTTTACTACTATCAAGACTAAGCCAAGGGGGGGTGATAGAGTCCAGCGAGAATTCGACTTTTTGGCGGCTCCTAATCCATTGGAGATGTTTTGTATTCCAACGGCTTTGTAAGGGGTGCTTAGGGTCAGCTGAGACAACTCTAGTTACAAAGCGATTGTGTATTCTTTCTAGCCAGATAGTTGCTGGAGCCCATCTAGTTTCCCGCAAAAGTGCTGGGACAGGGGTAGTTTTATACACTGGTAATACAGCTCGAGCTGCTTTATTAACTGCTCTTTGGACTTGATCTATTGCCCACTTGGACGTTTTTGGTCCATACCACATCTCAGCTCCGTAGAAAAGTGATGCAAAAGCTAAACCTTGGAAGGCTTGCCGCAGAAGAGCAGGTTGGGCACCTTTCACAGTGTTACATAGTCTCTTGACATGGTCGGTGACCACTCGACAGCGCTGGCAGGCTCGCCGTATATGTTCCTTGAATGATAGCTTCCTATCAAAGACTATCCCAAGCCAGCTTGTGTGATCATTCGGAAGAACTAAGGTGTCCTCCATTATTAAGGGAGGTTCCTGATATTTTCTCTTATTATGAAAATATTGGAGCTCAGTCTTCGTTGTTTCAAACTGAATACTGTTGTCCCTACCCCATTGTAGAGTTCTTGTAAGTCGTAACTGTAGTCTCTGACTGCATTCCTCAAGATTTGGGCATGTTTCGAACATTGCAATATCATCTGCATAGCCGAAACATCCGCGTGCAAGGCGCATGACTGGTTCTACATAGAGAAGAAATAGAATGGGCGATGTTGGAGATCCTTGTGGTAGACGACATAGAATCTGAAAAGGGTCTGATACTTCTCGATCGAGTCTGATTCTTGCCGACCGGTTTTGAAAGAAGGAGCTTACCCATTGCACTACGTTCTCCGGCCATCCCTGAGTCCTCAGTCGAAAAAGGAGTCGGTTTTGCAGCACCCCATCGAAGGCCCCTTTCACATCAACCGTCACCATACCTGCTATTTTCCTCTTGCGAAGTGCTTCTTTAACATCACATACCAATGCTGTCGTTAGATCCGCAGCTGACCGTCGGCTTATTGCACTACACTGGCCTCTATCTAGGATATCAAACTTCAAGGAACAGAATGAGAAACGCCGTGCGAAGAGCCGTTCAAGTCCTTTTCTAAGACAGGAAAGAAGAGCGATAGGTCGGTATGATTTAGGTAGTATTTGATCCCGTTTTCCAGATTTTGGCAAAATAACAATGTGTGCGCGCTTGAATATCTTTGGATGTACCCCGTGTACTGCGCATTTATTGAAAAGCCTAGTTATCCGCTCCCCTAATATTGGCCATGAGAGTCGAATAATAGGAGCCGTAATTTCATCCTCCCCTGGTGAGGTTGAAGATACCTGATAGGTTGCCCGGAACAATTCTATTTCAGGGAATGGTTGCCAAGGAATACGCCTCGAGGCTACCGAGGGGGTTTCTTCTGGGATATCTGTTGCCTCCAGATGTCGGGAGAGGAGCACTCTATGGAGTAGTGCTGCTTTTTATTTCGGGTTCTGGATTTTGGGCTCCCCATCTGGTCCCTTTAGTGGTGGTGTCTCATACTTGGGCGGAGTGTTATGCCAATTTACAATCTTAAATACTTCTGGGAGAGACTCCGATTTTTCGATTCTTGTAGTCCAGTACTCTTTCTTCGCACGTCTGACAGCATTTCGGAGCTCTTTTCGTTCGAACTCATGCTTTCCCTTCCGTCTTGCTGCGTAGTACCTACGAGCTGCGAGCTTACAATCTTTGTTTCACCAGACGGTGCCATGGTTCTTCTCTCTGGCGCGAGGGCAGGCAGACTGGAGTGCCGTTCGGATCACTTTAACAATATTTTCCCCCTCTTTTTCGATGTCGTCTACTGTCGAAAGATCTGGGGGATCGCTTTGGCATCTTAATAGAGTTGTAAATAAAACTTCGTTAGTTGAGTCATACTGTATTCGCCTCTCACTATTTTCATTCGCATTGTATTCACCAGTTAAGGTGGTCACCATTGTTTCGTGGTCGGATGTGGTGTGAAGGTCAGAAGGTATCTCACATTTAGCTCCGGCTAGGGAGGAGAAAGCTAGATCTAACGTTCCGCCGCCCCTGTGTGTCAACATTTCCGTTGGGCTTAAGAGAATAAGTTCTTTCTCTCTTGCCCATTCTAGTAAGTCTGCGCCCCTGAGAAGTGTACGTGGCATGCGAGTCCCAGATTGGGTGTCGCAAATTAAAATCTCCACCGACAAATTCAGGAGTACCAGTCGATTCGATTAACCTTTTAAGGCCTTCTCCTGCTCTGATTGACCCAGCTGGAGCGTTGTACACATTCCATACAGCTATTTTCCGACCATGCCCGGTGGAGATAACCACCTGCAGTAGGTCTGGAGAAGTATTAATTTCACTTTGGTATGAGCGCAGTCCTTGTGAACTGCTATTGTAGGTTAGAACTCTGGGGCGAGTATGCCATTCGTCTAGTGGTGAGAAAAGCGCAAATTTTGGGTTTAAAATTGACCTTTTTGCTGTTAGATCTTTTAACGTCCAAGGTTCTTGTTTGAGTAGAGCGTCAATATTATTTTCGTGTGCGAGCTGGAGAGCCATATTGTGCGCGTAAGCTCCTCTTCAAACATTTACTTGCATGACTTGGATTGGTCTGATTTTTAGAATTTTCTGTCTCCTGACCATATTTAATGGGTATGGTTGAGTTCAGTGAGGGTCTCGGCACCGCTCTCGGCCGATTCCTGAGTATGTCTCAAAGTATTGGCAAGCTCTCTGCGTCCAGCGGCGCGTATATGTCGCAACTGTGCCCCTGTTGGGCGAACGAATACACCATGATCTCTGTGTGGGCGAGCCGGGCATGAGGTATCAGTAGATTCGTGAGGCCCACGGCAATTTAGGCACTGTATTTGTTGCGAGCATGGACCTTCGTGAGAATCCATTCCACAAGAGGCGCATTTAAATTGTCGGGCGCAGGTTCTCGTGGCGTGGAAGCCAAATTATTTATTGCAGGTGCGCAATAGCTGCTTGTTCGAAACTCGTTGGACGCTTGTTGCTTGTCCGAAAAGCTGCATCCGGGATGGCACTTTGTGCCCTCGCCTGAGGAACATGAATTCTGATGTGCCCAAACGGGCTCAGAGAGTCTGTAGATCGACGTGTCCAGGCTATGTGTCGAATAGGAGTGTCATCTTTTATAGCTCGAATCGCCGGCTCCTCTAGTAAAAGCCCTTCAAGTGGGTCATAGGCTCAGTCTAATGTGTTAACTTTCTTTGGAATAGGGCCGAAAACAAATGTCGTCTATGTCTCTTGTCTTTCCACCGTAGCATTACCAAATCTTGCAGCAATGGCTTCACTATGCTGTAAAATACTAGCTGCTTTTGCCGGCAATGCGGCAAGTACTGCCACACCGGATGGAACTTGCCATGCGTCAACAATAAGTGATGGGTCGGGGACCAACCTTTGGACTTGTTGGCGGAGTCAAAACGGGTCTGATTTTCGAGCTTCGTGTTCTCGATCTAGCCGAATCATGATCCTTTTGTCTTCTTTGCTCTGATTCTGGGGAGGCGTTGGTCTTGTCATGGGCCGACGTACATCAATGTTTGTTCCGGTCGAGACCCCTGCAGCCGCTTTGGAGGCTCATTTCCTCCTGTTGTCTTTTTGAGTGGAGGGCTTTTGCTCTTGCTCGTTCATTGAGCTCTTGTAAATCTTCTGTCCTCTGATGGCTCGTGATACCCCCTCTGAGATAAGGGCTAAGAAGTCTGCACCTGCTCCCGGGCATTCCTTTTCCATATCTTCAAGGTACGGTCCAACTAGATTTAGTAAACCTCTAGCTTCTGACATGAGGGAAGTACGGTAGCTCCCTGCGGGCTCGCTGTTTTCTGTGTCTATTGGGGTCACGCTGGTTTCCTTTTTGTCAGCATCTATTTGCTGCGTGGGGATTGTACTTTCAGGAAATGTATTATCTGTCAACTGATCTTCTTCGATCGTGTCCTTGTCCCTAGGACTCAAGATCTGGTGAGCGTCGGGAGGAGCATTTTGGGGCACTAATGCCTGAAGTCCTTGAGAAACAGCGAATCCAGAGATTGCTGCATTCAGCTTCAAATTTAAGCGGGTGGCAATGCCATCACTTAACTGCCCCCTTCCAGAGTTGCTTGCGTGTTTCTGAATGCGATGCTTTGCATCCAGTGCCTCGGACACCTCGCGCTTTCTGCCGCGAGCCGGAGGAGCCACATCCTCTGCTTAGAGAACAGACTTGAATTTACAAATTTAATTTGCTCTGATGATGGCAGTTTTTAAGATGGAGTTGTGAATCAAATATTGAGCATGAAGTTTTATTGTGGAGCTATCTAGCATTAGATAAATAGTATCACGTGATATATTGAATCCACTAAAGAAACTGTCTGATTATAGCTCTGTATCTTATGACATGACTTATTTTTCAGAACATTTCCTTACATAGAGTAGCGCTGGGAATGAGAAATTGGCTCCCCAATGAATCATTAGTTGTTACTTAGGAGGGATGGAGTTAGACAGGAATTAATTTGATACCAATATTATTACAACAAGCTTGTCACAAAACCCGTCCACTTAAAGTATTTCGAGAGACAATTGTATTTAGATGTATGGTTCTGAGTAAAACCGAGATGATAAGAATGAGATTGCGTGTTTGCATATCTTATCAACTGTGGTTTTTGAGCAGTATTTATCAATCTCCATGGATCGTAAGCTATGATCCCTGTAGATGTAGAACTATGTACATACACATATATAAGCCAGGTGTTAAACTATAAGATTGTTGGTCAAACATAATCCTCCCTGTGCCTTAACAAAATAGAGTTATGGTTGTGATTAGTGTTTACCTAAGAGTAAAATGGGTAAGGCGTTTGGAGATCTTATATACCCTGTACTAGTAGTTTCATATTAGCGTGTAAGCGAGGCTGGTAGACACATATTAGTAGGAGCACAGCCGCAGGATTTTTCCTAGAATGCTGAGCGAGCAGAGTAATATACACGTTCTGTTAACCCTATACTTTATCAATTCTACTTCCAGTACTACTGTAATACCCGTCTAGAGGAATCATATTCTAATACCAGGAATATAAAGCTAAATACATGTGTGTTGGTAATAGATACTAGAAAACAATAACCTACATTTGAGACATAGTCATCTGCTGGAATGATAATGTGAAATAAATGCTAATACGCATTAAACTTTCGGTGAAGGATGAATTGAAAACAGTGATATAGAATGGGGAATTTGATATTCATGTTAACCGGACTTACAAATAAGTTATTCTTGGCATTTCAAGATATATCATATTTCAACACTCCATTGTTACTCTACTCATCATGGAGCCACCTGGAAAGTTCTTTCTTCAACTTCAGTGAATATTACCCTTGTGCACCGTAATCCTAGGCATCACCAGCACAACAAAGCTCCCTCAAAAAGGAGTCACTAACATCTACGTACAAATTTTTTCGTTATCCAGAGACAACAACGAACCTGTCTGTTCTAGAAGTGACAGGTTATCAAGATGAACTCAAGAATAATTTTGAGTAGCAGCTCCAACTGGAGACCATGGCCATTTTTATATAAACACCATAGCAGTAAGTGGTGGAGCTGGAGATATATCAATCCTGACCTTGGATCACAAATTCTAGAACCAACACGCCCAGTGGCACCTTCACCAGCTGAAGCTAATTCTATAACAGGACATACAACATTTGCAACCCATTCCTCAGATGAAAGAGAAATCTTCAATCTACTTTCTAACAAATACAGAGAAAGCCTATTGTTAGCAAAAGAGGAGATAGAAACTCTTAAAACAATCAGAAATCACCCGGTATCTTCAGTAAGTAAAGGTAATATTGTCTACATCGAAACCAAATGTGCAATATACAATATGTTAGTAGGATTAAAAACAATACTTGATAAAAGTTATGTAGGTGTTGTACAACTGCACTAAGCGTGCGTCAGGCATCAACATGTTCTGGGTAAATAGTGAATGGAAAATCCGAGCACGTGATATAATCTCAATTTATGTAGTGCTAAGTAGTTTTTTCTCTAGGTAGCAACGAGGTATCAATTTATAACCACCTGAAATACAGTTCCGCCTTTATTCTGACCCAATTGATCATATTGACTAAATGCGTTACAATTTGTCATAACTTAACTACAATTAGCTCCAATGGACGAAGCTAGAAAACTGGAGGTTATTGATAAGTATTGGAGGCTTCGGCAGTTTGACAGAAAAACTGATGTTGAGGAATGGCACAAGGCATGGGAGACAACCTATGCAGATGCTATAGCACTTGGACTGCCGGAAGTATCGGGGTATTGTTCACAAAACGATTTTGCCGTCGCCTTGAACACCATAGACGAGGCTTATGCAACCGCCCAGCAATTTTGGCTAAGACAACTCACTAGAGAAGTATCGGGTAAGAGTGTCCCATCACTGTATGATATGATCGAAGACCTTAGAAATTATTTTTGTCGAAACCAAGCACTTAAGTCCAGTGTCAAAATGAGAGCGTTTCCGGCATCTTCGGAACAAAGGACAAGATTAAGCAATTAAGATTCAGACTAGAATTTATTGAACCCTTGCTCGTGTGAAAGACAGCGTAGGTATAAAAATTGCTTTTAAATCACACCGTCAGAACGTCCACAGGGATGGAAATAGAAGGAAAGTGTCTTCAGAGAATTTAACATGATGATAAGGTGTTACAGCGCGATCCAAACGGGGTAGAATCTGCCGACCTCGAAGTATATGAGGTGATTATCGAGGTTCACAATGGAGGTTTAGAATTAAGAATTCAAAGATTACGAAAAGATAATTGTGGTAGAAAGATACAAAAGTTAATTATGATCAAAAGAAGAGAAAAATACAAATTGCGAAACTTAAGGTCTGGGTAAGCAATTTATTCCGCTTCTTATAATCAAAAAATTCATTAATAAAATCTCCTGCTCGTCCTTGAACCATCCATCGCATGAGGGTATCTGAGTTGAAATGCCAATCTCCTCAGGTATTTAATCTGGGAAATAATATGTGGATTATACCTGTATCCTAAATACTAATCATCCCCGAAAGCCTGTATTACTAATTTATGCAAGATAATTTCATTAAGCACAGGATTATTATTTCCTAAAACCGGCCTTGGTGATGATCTCGTAATTTTATCTCTTTACTTAATATTGGCTGGCTGGATATCTCTCAAGGGCGAGGTTAGTAAAGTGTTCCACAGGGTATGTATATGTTCTAACGAAGATCTAGATGGTAGATTAAGGTGAATAGTGGGTCGAAGGGATGACTGGTCTTCTCTAGGAAGAGATAAAATAGGTAGATAGTAACAATAGAGGCTACACGTGGTTCTTGCTGATGAAGAGCTGGAAAGAGATAAATGGTCTTCCCGAAGAAGAGATGGTGTTGAAGTATCAGTCACTGAGCCCTAGAATACATGTGACTTGATTTGTAAGCTGGTCTAAACTAGGGTCTATAGAGTGTATCGTAGGTGTAGAACTTTGTAGCACAATAATTTACTTCATAAGCTTCAGGCATTTACCAGCAGTACAGTCTTCTAACCATATCTTCCTCAATAGATTATGAGACCAAATAGCTCATAGAAATCATAACTGCTTTGTGTTAATAAATATCCTAGCTTACAGTACCACCATCTTTCCTGAACCATAAGAGGTCTCCGACCTGTGGCAGAAGGTGGAAATATAATCATCGATTATTTACAACTTATTGATATTATCTATATAGAGATTATATTATTAAAATTTCCCGACCATCGACCCAGACCACAATGTCTCAAGAATCCGGCGCCAGTTTTTCGCTCGCCTCTAACCTAAAACTTAGGGGTGAAGAAAACTACCAACAATGGAAGTTTAACATCGAAAATGTCGCTCGCCTTCACGAATTACGAAGGTTCTACCATCCAAAAGCACCAGCTCCTCCAAAGTTTATAGACGAGTTTGAACAAGATGTGTCGGAAGAGGAGTACAAGAAGTACAATGAATGGGCTAAGGGAGATGCCAAAATGAAGCTGTACATTTCAAACAATGTCTCGTCATCAATCTCATCTCAGCTGAATAACCTCAATACTGCTAGAGAAATGTAGGATATGCTTGCTAACCAATACGAAAGTTCTGGAATAGTTATGAATCAGCAGGCCATTGCTAAGTTAATAAATCTTAGGCATACAGATTACCCCTCAATAGACGAATTTATCATAGCTTTCCAAAACGCTATTGATAACTTAAATCGCCTAAACATCCCTCCTCCTGAACCATGGCACCCGCTAGTCTTTCTAGAAGCACTGAAGGATTCATATCCAGTCTGGGCAGAACGGCAAAGAGCGGCCTGCAGGGAAAAAAGGTCAATATCTCTCAACAAACTAATACATAACATTAAGGACTAAGCACGAGCTGATAGCAAATCTAGTGGAAGCCAAATGTCTCTCTATGTGAAGAATAATGATAAGAGCAAATCTAGACCAAAGCCTATAGAGTGTAAGATCTGTGGAAACTCAAAAGCTCGGCACGCAAAAGGAAAGTGTCTTGAAGATCCCAAAAATAAAGACCTTCTCAAGCAGTGGGAGGATAAACACAAGAAAAAATGGAGAAAGTTTAAGGATCAAAGTTATCATAGTTCCGGTGGTAAAAGCAAAGCAAAAGACGATGATACCAATAATGACACTCCACGATTTGGAGGCCTCGCCTGTATTAATATGTCTGTCTTTGTCGCAAACAACTCCGATTGTTGGCTTCCTGATACG